CGGCCATCATCAAAAATTCTACAAACAATAAATACTGGAGAGGGTGTGGAGAAAAGGGAACCCTCTTGCATTGTTGGTGGGAATGTAAATTGATATAGCCACTATGGAGAACAGTATGGAGTTTCCTTTAAAAACTGAAAATAGAACTACCATACGACCCGGCAATCCCACTACTGGGCATATACCCTGAGAAAACGATAATTGAAAACGAGTCATGTACCAAAATGTTCATTGCAGTTCTATTTACAATAGCCAGGACATGGAAGCAACCTAAGTGTCCATCAACACATGAATGGATAAAGATGTGGCACATATATACAATGGAATATTACTTAGCCATAAAAAGGAATGAAACTGAGTCATTTGTAGTGAGGTGGATGGACGTAGAGACTGTCACACAGAGTGAAGTAAGTCAGAAAGAGAATATAAAGCCGTATGCTAACACATATATATATGGAATCTAAAAAAAGCAAATAAAAATGGTCAGAAGAACCTAGGGGCAAGGCGGGAATAAAGATGCAGATCTACTAGAGAATGGACTTGATTATACAGGGAGGGGAAGGATAAGCTGGGACAAAGTGAGAGAGTGGCATGGACATATATACACTACCAAACGTAAGGTAGATAGCTAGTGGGAAGCAGCTGCATAGCACAGGGAGAACAGCTGGGTGCTTTGTGACCACCTAGAGGGGTGGGATAGGGAGGGTGGGAGGGAGGGAGATGTAAGAGGGTAGAGATATGGGGTATATGTATATGTATAACTGATTCACTTTTTTTAAAAGCAGGAACTAACACCATTGTAAAGCAATTATACTCTAATAAAGATGTTTTAAAAAAAAAAAGTGGATGCAAGAGTCTCTTATCATACCCAGAGGGTACAACCTGGAATGCAGAGAATTAAAATGATTCCTGGGACAGAATAGGAGCTGTCTTACCTGCCTGCAGAACCCTCAAACCAGCCAACAGGTTTTAACCACACTTTAATTGAACCTATTCATTGTCCTCACCAAGAACTATGCCAGCTAGAGGAAGGAAAAGCTGAACAAGTTTCAAATGGTCAAAAAATAAATGAACACTAACATGCAAGATAATACTTCATATTTCAGATTTATATCTTTGTCTCTCTATATGCTCACACATATATAATATATATACATGTATATGTATGATATATATTTGTATGTGTGTGTATATGTAACATGTGTGTATTTGTACCTGGAAGGATACAAAATAAACTAATAAAATGGTTACTTTTCAAGAAGGTGAGGAAGGAAATGGTATTTCAAATTGTCACCAAATCAGACCTTAGGTATTATATTTTAACTTTCTAATGTAGTCATGGTCTGTTTTTATAACAAGGTAATTTTAACAGCTATCTGTGTCACATGAGCACAAGGGGCTAATTGCCAGCTGAGTCTCCAGCAGGCACAATCACAATGGTTCCTTCCTTTGAAATGATGGTAAAGCCAAGAAACATAAAAGCACATACTTCTCTCTACCTTTTTCACCATAGCCCTATGATCATCCATGCATATTTTTCCTTGGGGAGGATCTTCCAGTTCCACCTGGTCAGCGTCTGCAGCGCGATTCATTTTTGGGGTTACCACGGCTTCCTCACAGTTCTTCCTGACCTCTAGCAGGAAATGTTAATACACTCCAGTAAAGTTAACAAGTGTTTTATTCACGTGTTTACATCCTAATTATTATGCTGAACTCAGGGCAGAATCCATAGGAACATGGGGGCCAGAAAATTGAAACATAAATAAAACATTCATTAAATATGGCAAAGCTGTTTCAACCTTAAAGAAAAAAATGCATTTTTATCTTAATATGAAGACAAGAAATGTGTCTAATTTTTTTCCTCTATACATTTGTCTGGTTTTTATTTTTTTAGTCTATTATTTCTATGCAGTAAAATGTACTAACTAGCAAGATCTTTATCAAGTACTTACAGTATACTGTATACCATGAAGGAATTTAAAAGTAAATTAGTAGGTTCCTGTCTTTAAGGAGCATATTACCAAGTTAGAGAAATAGGATAAATGCATGGGGAAACTTGAAGATGAAATAAAAGAGATTGTGAGAACTTAGAAGGATGCAGTCTGGAGTAATGAGGAAACTCTTGATTAAAGTGAGCCTAAAATATATCAGATATCAAAAGTTCTTTGCGCTAGACTTCCTTGTATTAGGTAATGTGTAGTTGTATGCATGTATATGTGTTTTATAGATTTATATACAAATATGAACGTTGAAGCTATTTATATATATGCACACATTATATATATATGTGTGTATATATTTTTACATATATACTATACATTCGTATACATTGAATATCTTCAATGTTCCATGACATGAGACACAAACTTAGTTTCATTTTGTGTGCTTCTTGTTTAGTATCACATCATTTATCAATGAAAAAGTTTAGGGCCTACATTTAGTATACACATTTTTGATCACAATTCTCACTATTTTGTGATTAAAATTCTCACTAAATATGATATGATTTAAAAAAAAAAAGAGAGGAAGAAAAGAATGATACTGGTATCCTTGTGCAAAATAAGCACAACAAACACAGTAAGAACAAAACGAAAGGTAATAATGGAGATGAAAGTTAAAAGATGTCTAAGAGAGTGATTTTTAAGGCAAAATTTACGTCTTATAAAATCTGAAGAAAGCCAGATTTTATGAAGGCTAAGATATTAGAAGGGAGCAAGACCTCCATGCACGCTATGACATTAAGAAACAGTAATTAGTGAAGGTATTTTAAGAAAAAGCCTCAGCTGGGTCAAAATTTTCTCATCAAATTAGAAAATGTTAGTGAAATTTGAAAAAAGCTTAAGGTGTAATATAATCCGTTTGTATGCCACTAGGCAGAAGTAAGCTTTGAAAGAGAATTTGGAGCTCAGGAAAATGTACAAAGGCCTCCACATATGTCTTCATGAATATCAAGACGTGATGACATCAAAGAGTGAGAAATAGAAAGAGTGCAGACAGAGAGTAGAGGGTCTTAAAAATCAAAAAGATTGTAGGAGGAACCTGGAATTCTGTCATAGTTACAAACTTATAAGTTACACTGAATTGTAACAAAACCTTCACGTAAGAGTTAAGATATTAAACTGTATTGACCAGGTTTTAAATGCCAGCGTATATTCTTGCTCTCTAATTGTCATTTTGACAGTCATATTCATAGTTTTCATGTTGCCTGATAATTGTGATGAATATCAAATTATGAAGAAGCCGGCTCGTGAATGTCCGGGTTCCTGGAAGTGCATGCAGCTTGCACAGTGTTTGGGCAAGCAACAGTGATGCATGGCTAGGGGTGAGAGGAGTTGGCAACACAAGCTAGAATCATGAGGCAGCTGCTGGGATTGAGCGTGACTATAAATTGACCCCGGATATGCCCTGCTTCCCCTCGGGGCTCCTTGGTGAAATAGGAGCTAGTATCATCACTAATTTGAACTTGTATGCCTTACAAGCCTTTAATATTAATAAAGTTCAAGGAAAACTTCTGATTATTGAAATATTAAAGACTTGGGCTTAAATTCAAAGCATCTTTCACAAGATTCCCCAACCTCCCCCTTTAAAAGTAGAAATATAGGTTTTGTATTAATGGTCTTGAATGGAGAGAGGGAACTGAGGAAATATTTTGTTTCTGTACAGGAATTAGGGCAAGTTAGATCTAGTATTGTATAATAATTCTCATTTTTAAACAATTGAACATCGATAATAATGGCTTTTTAAGAGATCATTTATGCTAGATGCTGTATAGGTAATTTAAATATATATATCTTTTATTTTTATAATATAGATTGTCAGGTTTGACTTAATTTTGTTCAGTCCAGTGGGGATGCAACTATGAGATACCCTAAATGAATTTATGAATAAAAGAAATAAAGAAATCCTGTGAAAACTTAACCAATGAAGTCTATACATAATAAGCAAGCAGATCATCTGTAATAGAAAAATAAGAATTAATTCTCATTTCTCAGTGTCAATGTAAACATCATTTCTTTTGAGAGAAATTTCCTGATGTTTCAATAGTGCCAGGAATTTTGCCAATCATACTATTTGGTGTATTTTACTTTAATAATGTGTTTCGTTTCTATTTTCCCTTTTAGACTTTGAAGTTTACGATGACAAAGACTGTTTCTATATTACCTAGGGGTAACGTTGTCCTCCTAGGGACCAAAATAGTTATTTTCACATAATAAATACTTAGTAAATACTTCTTGAATGAAAATATGCTGAACAAATGATCAGTAGTTGTACAACCGAATAGCTATAGAACAGAATCCCAGAGATCCAACTAAGATGACTGAGGAATATTATCAGTGTTGAAGGAGCAGATGGTATCATAATTGGATCGATAGTTTTGTTCATCTTGCTAGGAGAAAGATTGTATAAGCAGAAGGCAATAGTCAGGCCAGGTAACATAGAAAAAGGCAATTCGAAATACCAAAGGTGGCAGTGCTAAGCTGACTGAGTGCATTGTTCGTTGGGTTGGCATGACTGTCTGCCCACTCACCCCATCTATTGGGTGAGAAGGCTGCATCAGGCTATTAGAATTTAGCATTCTGACATTTGAATCATAAAATTAACTCCTGTGGTCAGTTAATCAATAAACCTTCTGATAATTTGGATCCCAAATACTTTTCTTGCTTAGAGAAAATAGGCTGATTTTCAAATGCAAATGTCCATTCCATTTGACATTTTGATTCTTCCTCTAATTTCAATAATTGAGATTTCTGATTTTTTTTCAGTCTTAATGAGTTTTGTTAAGATGACATATCCCTGAAAGATACATGCCAACAAAATCAAGTTCTTAACTTCCAGGACGGAGGCTGCAAGTCTCTTTCCTTGTGATTTATGCAAGTGTAGTATCACTCATGAGGCTTCCTGCTCTCATCTGTGATATGAGGTGTTGTCACTTAACCTAACCTATGATCACTGTGACATTACATAAAAAACTATAACAGCCTTTCTCTTACAGGCAGTCAGCTGCTGACTGTGACCAAATTGTGGCTTTGTGTTATAATGGGACCAGAGACCACCTCTAGCCTTAATCACATGCAAAGCATCAAGATGCAAAATCTTCAGATCACACAGATGTCTCTAGGAAGCTGAAACTACTAATCAGAAAGTGAGTAGATTTGATGAATAAGTCAGTGAAATCAAGACATTTGGCTTTTGTTTGTCCATTGGAGGAACTTGAAATTTTCAGTAGAGGAGAAGGCTTAAAATATTTTTAAGATACTTTAGACACTTATTTTTGAGTTGCACAGACCCAAACAGATACCAAACTTTGGAACAAATAAAAGTAGCTTTAGACTATTAAGGTTTGTAAACCCCACTTTTTATCCAAAGGATGATATATTCAACTATAATAATATCAGAATTCTATGGATAGATGGAGCAAATATCTTGAATACATTTTTCTGTTGATTTTCTTACTGTGCCCATTTGGTTTTGCCCATAGGCAATAACTAATTTCTTGAAAGAGGATCGATAAGAATAATGCCAGCTGCTGACCTAATCATCATTTCTGTTCTTCCGCAAATTGCTAAGGTGAGTCATTATTTCCTCTTTCAAGAGAGATTTAACCTTGTGTATTATATGGGTTGCTTTCATTAGTAGAAGCTTCAGCCTTGTGTTATTTGTGGAATGCTGATGATTGATTTCATTGTTCATAGTGAATACCTTTTGAAATTGTATCTTAGATGTCATTCGGTGTTTCTTGGTATTGCTGACTGTTAGCCATTTAAGTATGGCTTATGGACCTAGCACCTGTGTGTTTTGCAAAGCAAGGCAGCAGGTGAAAAGGCAAATGAAATGGAGGCATATTTTAGATGGTGACACCTGGTCCCCCAGTGAACTGATTTACAGGCCAGTAACCATTCAGTGATAAAATGAGTGATTAGGTAAGCCGATTCAGTATTTAGTATTCAGTATTTAGAAGATTGAAATGACTAGTTTGTTTCCCAGTGGGTCTGTCTAAACAGATATTTGGTGACCTAATATTCAAAATTACACAATTGAATAACACTCAGGGCTTTTTGTCTGGGACTGGCATAAGACTGTTGAGACACGATTAACAATACAGAACTGGTAGTTATGAAGTTCAAGTGAAAGGTGCTTCTCTTGCTGTGTTAATTGGTCCCCAGTCTGCTGAGCATGTGCTGTGAGTTGGCCATTCCTCATCCCCACAGCAGTCTGTATGACAGACTCTAGGTCCATATACCTCACTACAAATAACTCAAATTCCCTCCTCTGTTTTTTCAGGTAAATTACTTATCTCCATTTCAGTAAACTTTTTATCTTGTCCTTTTGTTTGGAACATATTCCTCCGTTTCTTCACTTTGCTTGACTCTCTGTGTTGGTTTCTATCCATTATATGAAACAGCTGCCTCTCCCAGTCTTGAAGAAGTATTAGCCTGTATAGGAAAGGAACCTTATTGTTCAGCTGTTTCCGAGCTCTTGGTTGTCTTTTGAACCTTTGTTATTGTCCAAGCAACCGATTTTATTTGCAATAACGCCTAGTATTTGAGAGTGTACCAAGACCTGCCAGGGTCCCAAAGGAAAGGACCTCAGTCAGCACCTAGATTCCAGCTGTTGGAAGCCAGTCCCTCAGGCAGCAGCTTTTAAAGAACTCAAATACATACAGTCCTGTGGGACCACAAGCGTAAGCCCCACTGACCTCCAGAGCCAGGCAATCTGGAGGTGTCCCCTGGCAGGAGACACAAAAATCAGGGTGCTAGACAAGGGTATAAGTCCCCTTTGGAAGACACCAGTGAGCTGGTGCAAAGCAGAGAGAGAACTCAAAGATTGCACCCACCAGCCTTAGTTCCCTTGAGAACACCTCCATAGGCTCCTTGAAACGTGCCAAACCAGAGCCTGCCGGTCAGGCCAAAACTCCTGGACATGCAAATAGGCCTCTTTCTCCGAAAGACTGGGGGTTTCAGCCTGCTGTCTATGCAAATGCCCTGGAGGCGGTAATCTGCCAAGAACTATTTCTCCAACTGTTTAAGTTCCATGGGACACAGGAATGCAAGTCCCCTGGCCTTCAAGACCAGGTGATGAAGGGGTGTCCTCTGGGCTACATCCGCAGAAACTGGGTCACCAGATATACCTAGAAACTCCCCTCTGGGAGATACACTGCAGCAAGGCAAAGGGGGAGTGCCAAGATGGCTGGCACCTGCCACGAAAAGAAAATAAAGAACAAAAAGAAAAATGAAAAACCTAAAAAAAAAAAAGGTGGGCTACCAGGGAGAAATAAAGTCTAGACATAAATAAGTAAATAAATAAATCAATTAAATAAAAGCCTAGAGTTAAAAAAATAGTGCCCACCAGATTCTATGTCCTGACAATATCCCAGCACAGCCCTGATTCTCATTCTGATGCTTTAAAATTAGCAAATAAGCCTCTTTCACATGAAGCCTGAGCACTTTTTAAAGGCTGTTTCTGCTCTGGGCCGTGGGGTGAGTGAGTTTGCTTGTGACCCCCCCCTTTTTTTTTAACATCTTTATTGGAGCATAATTGCTTTACAATGGTGTGTTAGTGTCTGGTTTATAACAAAGTGAATCAGCTATACATATACACATATCCCCATATCTCCTCACTCCCTCATCTCCCTCCCTCCCACCCTCCCTATCCCACCCCTCTAGGTGGTCATCTTCCTGTGCTATGCAGCTGCTTCCCATTAGCTATCGGTTTTACATTTGGTAGTGTATGTGTGTACATGCCACTCTCTCACTTCGTCCCAGCTTACCCTTCCCCCTCCCCCTGTCTTCAAATCCATTCTCTAGTAGGTCTGTATCTTTATTCCCGTCCTGCCCCTAGATTCTTCATGACCATTTTTTTTTTTTTTAGATTCCATATACATGTGTTAGCATATGGTATTTGTTTTTCCTTTCTGACTTACTTCACTCTGTATGACAGACTCTAGGTCCATATACCTCACTACAAATAACTCAGTTTCATTTCTTTTTATGGCTGAGTAATATTCCGTTGTATATATGTGCCACATCTTCTTTATCCATTCATCTGTCGATGGACACTTAAGTTGCTTCCGTGTCCTGGCTATTGTAAATAGAGCTGCAGTGAACATTGTGGGAAATGACTCTTTTTGAAATATGGTCTACTCAGGGTATATGCCCAGTAGTGGGATTGCCGGGTCATATGGTAATTCTATTTGTAGTTTTTTAAGGAACCTCCATACTGTTCTCCATAGTGGCTGTATCAATTTACATTCTCAACAGCAACAGGGTTCCCTTTTCTCCACACCCTCTCCAGCATTTATTGTTTTGCTTGTGAGCCCTTTAAGAGCTGTTTCTCAGTTCACCACAGCCCCATATGTCTTGTGGCTGTGAGTCTAGTTGGTTTTCAAAGCTAGATAATTGGGGGACTCATCTCTCAGGTGTAGGTCTTAAAAGTTGGGGCTCCCAATATGGAATATGAACCCTTCACTCCTCAGACAGGAGAGCCAGGTTTTGAATTCCTTCCCAATTGCGGGTCACCATGTGGGGTGGGAGGTTGGAAGGTGAGGTTTATGCTAAGATTTTACCTCAGCCTATCCTACTTGCTTTGATGTGTTTTGTTTCCCTTCTTTGCCTGATGTAAAGAAGCTGTTCTGCTAGTTTTTAGGTATTTTTTAGAAGAAATTATTCCATATGTAGCTTTAGATTTGTTATGTTCACAGAAGGAGGTGAATTCAGAATATTCCTGTTTTACCATCTTGAACCAGAACCCACCTCTTCTAATAGCTGTAGATTTGTAGTATAAGTTACTGCTCATTGTTTGAATTTCTTTTAACCATCAGCCACTTTCAAGTTGGATATTTATGTTACAAAAATCCTGAGCCAAATTACTTTGTCTCAGTTACATCATCTGTAAAATATAGAAAGCAATCCATAAACTAGGTAGTGATACCTACCATATAGAGTTGTTGAAAGGATAAAGCAAGTCAGTACACATGGAGAATTGAGAACTGTTTATGTTATGTAGTAAATTATTCGTAAATGTTAGCCATGACCACAAAAATAACAATGATGATGGAGAAGATAAGGGTGATGAAATGATAGATATATTATGTAACCTTTAATATTCAGGTCTCTGCTGGTTTGTAATAATTCAAAACACTACCAGACTCTTTCCATATTAAAATATAATTTTCAACTTCTCACTAATCAAGAGGAAAATATAGTCTTCAAGGAGACTCAGGCAGATATGACACTGCATTGAATCTTATGCAGTTAGGCAGAGGGGGCAAAAATCACATAGCTTACCTGGCCATCTGAAGAGTGGATCTAATAACAGGCTTAGGAACATTTTCCTAAAGAAAAAATTAGGAGAGAGAAATTCCCTGTTGAGTAATTAAAATAAACACAGGCACGATTTCAAAGAAGAATTTATTAATTAGTTTAACAATTATTTATTGGGAACAAAGTTCTAGTGGGAGGAAAATGACAAGCCACAAAAATCTGCATGCATGGTATTTCTCATAGCGATAAGTGGTGCTGAGACAAATGGGATTGTCATCTTTTGTTGGGTCTTAAAGAAGGAATCATTGATAAGAGACTAGACAACCAGATAATTGGAGGAAGGGAGAAATGAGTCACAAAGCATCGTCAGGAAGAGCATTCCAGGTAGAGACAACATCAAGTCAAATGTTCTAAGGCAGTTAAGATGTGATGACACTTTAGGGTATTTCAGAAATAATAATAAACCAGTATGGGTTAATCTGAATGAACAAGTCTTAAAGCAATAGGAGATAGTGTCAGTGTATGTAGGACCTTTCATGAATTAAGTGAAAAACTGCTGACAGATTTTGAGCAAAGGAAAGAAATCTGAAAAGGAGCTCTCTGGTGCTATGTTAAGAATTGACTATTAGGAAGGAGAGTAAGGACACTGGGAGAAAACCTTTAGAAATCTGTTATATGAACCTAAGCAAAAGCACCATGGTAGGAGTGGAAGTATTGCAAAGGGACTGGATTCTGAGTGTACTTTCATAAAAGGATTTGTTTATGAATTGATTATATCATAGAAGGGAGAGTTAAGTGCCAAGTGCTTTGGGTAGAGAAATGCAGAAGGTTGCAACTGCTTTGGGGGAAATTGAGGGCAGAGCAATTTGGCAATGGTGGAGGTGGGACTGGTGAATCGGTAAAAGATACCACGAAGGACCAACAACCAAGAAAGAATGATGTTCCAGATGCCAAATGAGAAGATGTTTCAAGCGTAAAAATATCAACTCTGCCAAATAATGTTAAGTCTAGAAAGGTGTAGAATAAGGCACGACCTTGTCGTTAAGCAACACAGCATCTCTGGTAACCTTACATGGAGTAGTGAGAATGAAAGTCTCTTCAGATGGGGAGGAGTCAGTAGGAGAATTGCTTTTCTTTTCTAGAATACCTTTTCACAGACACTGCAGGGTAGCTTTGTCACATCAAGGTCACTAAACTCAGAAAGCGGTCTTTGCTATTTCTGGCTCGACCTGATTCTTTTCCTTGATCACTGTGGATTCCATCAGAGCACAAAATCTCTCCCAGAATCAGAGTGAGTGGTGGTCATGA